TTCAAAGAGCCGAGCTGCATCGACAGGCTGCGAGTCGAAAACAGAGAGGAGCCACTGGAGGTGAGCTAGACAAGCCAATCGACCCCAGCTGGCCTGGGACTGGGAGAGGAAAGGGGAGAGAGGGATGGGGGGAGTCTCCCAGGTGCTGGCTACCTCTTTCTCTTTCTAGACCTTTCTCATCCTGGAGGAGCGGCGGCTTGTTTGAAGTCCTGCCGAGGGAGACGCAGCGGAGGCTCGATGAGGAAGGAGGGGGATTCTGTCCCAGATAGTGCTGAGCGCTGCAGAAAAAGGCCGAGGCCATCGATTCGGTCTCCTGCAGGAAACTGCCTGGGGAGGAGGAGGAGGATTCACCCAGAGCCACGCTGGTCAATGGACGCGAGGGGAGGGGGAGGGGGGAGGACAGGCCAGACCAGCCGGGTGTTTGCTGATGTTTAAAGTTAGCTGGAGATTGTCAGATTTAAAACCCCGCGAGGCTGCGGCAGTCCGCTGATCGCCCCGGGGCAGTCATCATGGTGGCACACCCATCAGATCAATGACAATAAAGTGACAGAGAGTAGAAAACCGTGGAGGTGTTCGGTGGTGGTTTCATGTCAGGATGAAAGAGTCCCATGTGTGAGGATGAAGAGATGAAGGAGGTGAGCAGAAAAAGGTTTGAGGCATACAGGGAGAGGTAAGAAAAAGAAGAGAGAGGAACCAAAACAGTAACATAATAATCTGGTTTTTGTAATTTTTTTTTCTCATTTGTTGTCATCGTAACAGTTTACTAGGCGATTATGGAAGAGCATGCAGTTATATCTTATGATTATTGTACATTAGCTATAATCAGAGGGGCCTGACAGACAGCAAAGGCTACTGGTGGTCAGAAATTTCAACAATTACAAACAATTATTGTATTCAGTATTCAGAAGAGCATTATAATACAGGTTTTCACAGGCACTACATTTGATCTTTTTCAATATATCATGTAATATGCTGGTTTGTTTTTATTTTTCATTTCTTTTTCAGATTTTTAACTCGTTCGGTCCGTAGAAGCTGGGATCTGGAAACGGAAGGACTGATCGTAAAAGAAGGCAGAGGCTGAAATTTTTCACAAAGTTAGATACCAAAGTCCACGTGGGCAGGCGCACGCACGTGAGCCGTGCCCCGCGTGCACGTGTGGGAGTTTGTTTTGAAGTCAGTGCATAGTTCTCATGCAGATTAGACTGCTATGCTTTGATACGCTGTCAGGAAGCATGATAGTAAGTTCAAATTGTCACATTTTCCAGCTTACCTCCCCTTCACTGGCTTGATTTAACACTTAGCACCATGTAATGGTTTTGCAATAGGATAAATAAATATCTTTGCAAAGGAGCAGTGACACCGTAATTCATTACAGTTGAGCGCTGGAGAGCAGCTTCAGTGTTACCTGCCTTCTCGTCCAATGACTTTCCTTCATCTCTCTAAAGTGATGCCATTTATACTCATTTCCCCAGCTCGTCGCGCTGAAGGATGTCTTCCTTCTGCTCTGCTCTCGTGCCGAAGACGACAACTGGGGAAATGGTGGCGTTTTCATCCAGTTTAGAGTGACTAAAAGCTGCTGGAGGTGGATTTCAGGTGTCACTGAAGCTCTCTCCGTTCATTGAACGATTGTTCTATGAGTACTGTACGTTCAGCGTTGCTATAATTCACATACTCAGGTCTCTAAAGTGATTGAAAGTAGTTGGGTGGATTAAAAATACCCTGGTCTAAAGCCTGAAGAATTCTGCCCCTCTTCACGTTCAAATTCGATTACCTCCCGACCCCATCCAGACCGTGGACTCGCACAGCGGTCCGGTCTGATGCATTTGTTTCTCAGGTGGTGGTGAGGGGGGGTGACATCTCTGCCCGGGAGAATTTGGACAAACGTGAAGACAACAAAGGCGTTAGCATAAAAAGCTCAGCCTTCATTCAACCCTGTTTTCCTGATGGAGCGGCAGAATTCCTCAAAGGCAAAATCCAAAAATCAACTCTTGGCGGGGGAGGGGGTGAAGCAAGAGGAGGGAGGGGGATATTGGGAGGAGGGGAGGTGAATGCAAGTGCTTCTCTTCTGGAGTTTTCGAGACAGTCTTTGACTCCAGCTCTCGCTCATATTGCTGGTTGGACAAGCTTTGGATCAGAGTTTTCTAGACTCAGGGTGAACGGAGGAAGCTGCAGGATTCATCGGGCGGTTAGAAGCTCAGAGGGGTTTGTTAGATTTGTTTGTCAATTGATGAGAGTTTCTGTCAGAAAATGCTGGTGTGAGTTAGCGTTATGGTGCGTGTTGGTTCAGCTGGTTGGATGCAGCGTCGGGCCTTATGGGCTCATCGCTCTCTCAGACTCGGCTTTGACTTGTGTGACTGCTGTTAGTTTTTTTGTGGAGGAGGAGAACGTGGTGTGGTAAGCTTCACATTCAGCCCCTCCCCAGCCTCCACCGCCAACACCACCTCCACCACCACCCAGTGAACTGGAACCCTTCATGGACTCCACTTCCAGTGGAATTTGAGTTGTTGCTCTATTTTTTGCTTTCTTCCACTATTTGAATTTTGACTGTACATGCACCTGAAACTTTACTCCAAATCCAAGAGAAGAGACCAAATCAAACATTGTTTTTTTTTTTTTTACTATAATTCTTCAGCTTTAATCTTTTTGCCACTTAAATGTCCCCTTCCTTACAAATTACCGGTTACCGTTTCTGCTTGTTCCAAATATTCAAACCTAAGATGCTTTTTATGGCTTCACCATTTCATCAAATGGCAACACTTCATGTTTCTTAGGCATTATTTTATACACGTTTCCCCAAAAGTATTTGGTTTATTTGGATTTTCCACTAGAATTTTGCAAGTTTGAAAATCCTGCTCTTATTCTGAAGTTGTAAATACCACCGCTTGGTCAGTGATTCTGGCGTCAGACAGCAATAAACAAAGGCATCCTTTCGTGGCACGCCGCCGGGCAGTGTCACTGTGAAACACCGCCTGATAACAGCATGGTGGGTGAGAAGAGTGGTGGATGGATCCAACAAACCCTGTACTTTCATCCTGGAGCCAAACCATTATGTTTTTTAACCTAACCACAGGCTTTATAATAAAGTTGTTTTTGCTGACGTCGTGAATTTATTTTGAAAAAGACTGTATGCATCCAACGAGCAGACACTTTACAGTTCCTGTGTAAAAAGACACAACGCACGCAACGGGTGTAAATTGACACAATGTAGCGTGACGTCAACATAGGAAGATATCTAGTGTGCAACATGTTGACGTGAAAGTCCACTGACAATACATGAAGAGTTGGGATGAGAGCGCTCAAGGAAAGCTTAATGGTTTGCTTACTACTTAATGTTTTAACTGCTAAACTGAACTGTTAGCATAGCTTAATCGAACAATTTGGGAACTGCCCATTGGTTCAACATCCCATTGTTCCGACCATATTAAACTCATTGTTCCGAAGTCCGTTCCGAAATCATCATGATGCCCTGTGGTTAAGGTCTGGTTAGGTTTAGGCATAAAAACCACTTGGTTAGGGTCAGGAAAAGATCATGGTGTGGGTTAAAATGAAAAAGAAAGTGACAAACATAAGCCGTGAGCCTGCTCTGCCTCAAGCCGGTCGCGGCGCACCATACGCCCGCCGCGAGCCGTTCAGCACCGCGGACAGTCGGACTAATGGGATGTCGAACCAATGGGCTGTCGAACCAATGACATGGACCCAACAATTTTATCTACTAAACTAAATTACTGGGAACTATTTAAGAAACTGAACTGTTTGCTTTCCCAAACCAAACAGCTAGCTAATGTGGCTAGACCACTAAAAAAGCTTTGCTAACCACTAAACTGTTAGCTGACTCAAATTAAGTCTTCATAAGCTGCTAAAATGAACACCTAGCAAAACTGATCCAAAGTGATGTTCACTGACCAAGCGGCAATATTTGAGGAGTTGGGATAAGAACTTGTGAGTTTGTAAAAAGTTTGGACACGTGAATTTGTAAAGATGGAGACAGTTTTTAAAAGTTTGTCTACACTGGATATGTCGTCTGTTTCTAGGCTGAACATGATTTTTGCAGGGACAGACATTTGCATTGTTGTTCCTTTTATACTTGTATGATTTTTGTTTTTTCTTTGCTGTTTCAAACCTGCCTACCCGTAACACCGTCTCTGACCTCTAGACCCACAAAAACATTATTTGGAGAACCTTAATTCTGGTCTGATGGGCATCTGGCGGAACAGATATGTTTCAGTTTGAATTAAAACAGCTGTCTTTACCGCCTGCACAGCACGTAACTTTTCTGTAGTTACAACTTCAAAATTAGCCAATTAATCAGTTTGTTGCTTTCTGGTTTTCTTCTAGTCTCTCTGATAGTGAACATTTTTGGGTTTTGGGCCAAACAAAATATTGAAATCCATCACCATCTGGGAGCTTGTGATGGCGTTTTTGCTACTGGCTGATACTGCACACCAAAAGATTGAATGATTAATCAAGAAAATAAGCAAGAGATTAATCGATAGTGGAAACCACTGTTGACTGCAGCTCGAGCTGTGACGCTGTACTGTGGATGAACACATCCAGTGTAGACCTCTATGGACGCCCAAAGGAGCTGCTGCTACAATGCGGCCAGCTTAGACGAGGTGTCCGAGATTTCACTCACAGGTGGAACATCATAATGTTCGGAGTATTTACTGAGCTAGCTAAGAATCAATATCTCCTATTGTGATAAAAGCTGTAAAACTTGGGGGGAATGAAGGAAATGAGCAGAAACTCTGATCACACTGGAAGTGTCCTTCATCCCAGTGACTTGCTGTTCCTCGGCCTATTATCTGCTGCATGAATGTGATGCTGGGATGAGCAGCAGTGGATGTGTGGATGGACAGAGATCAGAGTGGACCTCCAGGCTCAGGGAGGGCTGAAGGACGAGGAAGAGGAGGAGGAGGAGGAGGAGGAGGAGGAGGAGGATTAGGAGGAGGAGGTGATCTTGTGGGCCAGTGAAGAAAGAAACAGATGGAAAAGAAAAAGAATCATGTTGCATAATCAAGCTGTTTATTTTCCTGCATGGAATGGTGAACACAAAAAAAGATGCCTAGATGCATTAATAGTAGGGGCATCCTTTGGCTGGCTATGTCATTGTCTCCTGCCTAAAACTAAATTTTTAAAATGCATAAAAAACGCTTGCTTTTCTTACCAATTTTCCTCAGAGTTACCTAGATGTAGCTTCATCAACACTGATGCAACAAATAACCTTCAAAACATACAGCATACTGTAACATCCATTTACAATGGTCTTATCACCACAGCGCCCTATACTTTTTAAGTACAGGAATATGCTATACCATCAACAGAGGAAATGTTCTTAAATACATACAAAAAGGAAAGCAAATAAAGAAAAATAAAGAAAATAAGGAAACAGTTAAGTTTTCAACTTAAATCCAGTTCCCAGAAAACAAACCAAACCAGTTCTAGTAATGTGGCCTCGATACAAACAATCAGAAAATTCACAACACTAGTTTTTCCTCATTTTATCAATGTTACAAAAGTCCTGCATTATAAAATAGGGCAGCTTTAAAATCAGTGTAATTAATAAAACTATACAACATACAAACACGTCTCCCAGTCAGGCCGAGTGGCCCTGCTGCTCTGCCCTCCCGTCCGTTAAGAGCTAACTCTTCTCTGCGTCTCTTCGCTGCTGTACCAGAACTAAATTACACACACAACACAAGAACAAAAAAACACACTGCCCAAACTATTGCTTTATATTCTTTTTCATTTTTTCTTTCTTTAAAAAGGGTGCAATTTTGTCGTTATCTTACACACAACACAGCCAAAAGTCGCTGATTAGATGCTAGGCTGTTTCACAAGGTTTTTGTGACACTTATAAAAATGTCCGTGCAATTTTTTATTTATTTTTTTATTCCCTTCGCTCTTTTTAAGCCCTGGAAGCTGTATTTTTTTTTGATGTAATACTTTTTCACTATTGTCATTTATTTCATATTTAGTGCAGATAATTAAGGAAGTAATGCCCAACTCATGGCTAAAGGGTAGGCAAGAACAGAGACAAAACAAACATGTCACACTAAGAGGAAACACACAACCCACACAAGTGGAACTACTAAACCATCACAGCTGACGCCGTCACGTCGCTGTCCATTAAATTTGATAGACGGACTGAACACACAGAACAGGTAAACCATTTATTCACTAAAACCTCTGCCAAGCAGGGTGGGGCGTGGTTAAAATGTTGGACGTCATCAAAAGTGTTTTCAATAAACTGTTTTCTGCGCGATGGAGAAGAAGTTGGACTTGTTTAAGGCTTGCTCGTGACAAAAGAAATTAAAAAAAAAAACTTTAGGAAAAAAGAGACCCAAATGCAATATTGCGGCCGTCTGGTGGATTATCAAAACAGAAGGAAGGAAGAAAGGAAGTAGAATTCCCCCAGCGACGGTGGCTCAGCTTGGCTGGAGCGATGCTGCGGGGCGGGCTTCACCATTTTTAGGGACCGACCACGGAGCACGATGCCAGTCGCGTGCACGCTAACTTTGGTTGAAAGTAAAGAGAAAGAAAAACCAAACTAAATTAACAATGTAAGACAAAATAAGTCTACGTGAGTGCAAGCAGGCATTGCATATTTTATGTCCTTATTATTCACTTCTGGGAACAAAAAGTAGAAGAACGAACCAAAACTAAAAATAGGAAGACTTGAAAATTAAAGTGTTTGCTGTTCGGAGATTGTAGCAACAAAAGTTAAAAAAAAAGAAAAGAAAAGAAAAAAAAAAGTCATCCCATCAGACAGGACAGGATGACGGGATTAGGATGGGAGTAAACATGGTTCACTGAGCTTATCTACCAGCTGGTGAGCAGTTATAAGCTCCTTCTGGTCTATCAAGATACAGGCATCATGAAATTTAGTGAAATGAGTACGATGTCTTCAACTGTCAACAACAAGAAACGTGACAAAATATGCATTTTCACATCAATCAGTTGATATCCTCCTTTTCCTGTCATCATGACACATTTATAATTCCAAGGAAAGCCGAAGAATTTGTAAACAGTTAACTGTTTTAACTGCTAAACTAAACTGTTTGCTAAAATACTAAAATGAAACAACTACTTTTAGCTGCTTAAATGTAGCAAAGTTTAACCAAACAGCTGCTTAAATTGACCGTTAGCTTACCGTAGCTGCTAAACTTAACGATTAGGGGCTTTAAAAGAAACAGAATTGTTCGCTTACCCAAACCAAATAGTTCCTAACCTGGTTTAACCACTAACCACCTTGCTTAGCTCACACTAAACTGTTAACTAACTCAAATAAATCCCTATTAGCTGCTGGAGTGAACAGTTAGCAAAGCTGAACCAAACTGATGTAGCTGCTACACTGGACTGTTAGCTAACCTAGTTTCAAGTGTTTTAGCTAAACTACTAGAGACCAGGAAATAAACTGAACTCTTAGGTAACCCGAACGAAACTGTTAAAGCTGCAAAACTCAAGAGTTACCTAACCTGACTCAAAGTCACTTAGCTAACCTGTCTGAAACCACTCTAGGTGCTAAGATGAACAGTTAGCAAAGCTGAACAAAATTGAAAACTGGACTGTTACCTAACCTAATAAAAAAGGTTTTAGTTAGGAAACTGTAACTGTTTAAGCTACTATAAGTTAGCCAACCTGGTGCAAAGTGTTTTATCCACGCAACAGTTGGCAAACTTAAATAAATCAGTTTTAGCTGCTAAACTGAACTGTTAGCTAGCTGTTTTAGGTAAACATACATGTTAGGGAATATGGTAATCTGGTAATATGCAGTATCAGAAATATTATTTCCATCCCGAGCCAGTGTTAGCTGCTAAATTAGTATGTTAAGTTAGCTACACATCCTTTTTGCAGCTAACTATTAGCCAACATGAGAGAAACCTTTTTACGTAGCTAACTGTTACCCAACAGCTGAAAATGTCACATTTACCTCATGTTGTCTGTACATGAGATTTCAGCCCGTTCTCATCCAACTTCATTGAATACTGCCACTTTGCCAATGATTTTAGTGTCAGACACCGACTCAAAAAAGCATCAGTTTACACTGTCAAGCGGCGCATCATACCGCTGTGAAAGGTATGTCAGTTCATAACACCACTGGATGGCGTCAGTTTGAAATGCCGCATGTAACAATGTAAAATTGGACGTTCATCTGGGAAGCTGCTGTTCACCTCCCCCGTGTGTTTGAGCCAAACCATTTTGTTTTTTACTAAACCTAATCACATGCTTTTGTCGCACAAGGAAATCAGCCTAAATATGAGGTGTTTTACTGACGTGAGTTTATTTTGAAAAAAGGCTGTATTCATCTAACGAGCAGAAACTGTATGTTTCCTGTGAAAGTGTAATTTGAAAAGACACAATGCATGTAATGATCGTTAACTGACATGGTGTCCTGCAACGTCAACAACAGACGCAGGAGCTCCTAGGGCTCCATATGGAGACGTGACAAAACAGCGATATTTGTTGAGTTTGGAAGAGAACGTGTTGGAGATTTTCACTGCAGACAAATATCACCTTTACTCACGACTGTGCTCATTTCACAAAATTTCATCGTGTTGCTGTCTGTCAGCAGGTACCTGGAGGTGATTGACCTGATTGTAGCTGGTGTAGATTTCACCTGTGAGGTCTCCGCTCATCGCTGCAGGTAAGTGGGGGAAAGAAAGCAGTGCAGCGAAGCCCTGAGACCTCCTAAAACTGAGAGATTACCAGCCAGGAATTTTGGGAATCACAGCGTTCCTCTTCAGCTTTGACGTTAATTACTCCAGTTACCTACAAAATCTCAGGTGTGGAGGGCGAATTAAGAAAATAAAGAGCAGAAAAAAAAGCAAGAAACAAAAAAACAAGACTCTCCACGTTGGATCTTGTGCAACTTTTCAGGACTGGACCGTAGCTCAAGGCACATTGATGAGGAACAATTGTTTTCGTGCAATTTGATAACTTACGGATGAAAGAGAGAACGTCTTAGAAGTGAAAAGCAGAGCTGATCTGTTGCTGAAGGAAGAAGGAAGGAAGAAGGAAGGGAAGGAAGTAGAAATAAAAATAATGGAGAGATGCTGAGAAGCGAAGAGAGCTGGTTGTTTGTGAAGGAGAGCGATAGAAAAGGCCTCAACGGGGCCAAACTAATAGACGGCTGCTGGCAAGTGCCTGATGTTGGGTTTACAATATAGTGTCTTTATCTCACTAACTACATCATCTATGGAAAAATTTGTCACTAACACTAGAACATGCAGATTTTTTTTTGTACTTTTTTATAACTTTTTCACTTAAATTCACTTTTGTTCGACGCTGGATGGTCGTAAGTGTGTGTGTGTGTGTGTGTGTGTGTGAGTGTGTGTATATATATTTATATATATAGTATAGAAAAGGAAGAACAAAACTGAAGTTCAATAAAATGGTAAGTTGCATGTGAAGCGCTCGGTTTTCTATTTGTGGACGAAAGCTTCCAGAGAGTTACCCTCTGCTCTGCCTCTTTATCGCGAAACCACACCCCCTGATTACACACTCACGGCCCATTGGCCAACTGCAGGAATAAGTGCTTTTGATTGGACAGGAGCTCTAGGAGACCCAGCCAATCATTGGGCAGCCCTTCACTGGGCAGCACCCGTTAAAGATTATCTCGCAGAAACCGGAGAAAACATGATTTCAGCTTAAATTCAGTCGTTTATATTTTCTCCTGATTTCGCCTCATGAGAAATTCAAATAGCTTTTTTTTTTTAAAAGTAAAACGATGTGCTCATTAAAATAAGTTAATCGCTTAGCGTTTTTTTTTTTTAAACAAAATGAAAAGCAGACTTAAGCTGCAAGAAATGATTTAAAAAATTGATTGTTTAAAATGATATTTCTTTAAAGGGATTCTTGTTCTACCATGCTAACAGCTTTACAAGATGAACAAACAACAAATAATAAACAATAAATGTGAATACAGCTCCCCTTATTTCTCACAAGGCTATGGTTTCTAGTTCAATGCTGTGTTGTTGTCTTTTGTACCCCAATATTTTAGAGTCCCAGAGGTGTGAGCGGACTAGGAAGAAAAATATAGTTTATATATACTTTTCAACAACTGTTTTCAACGAGCTATCTTACAAAGATATTTAACTATCCAACAGCTAGCCAACAAAATTGCACTTTCCTCATGATCAATATTCCACTGGTAAAGTTTTAGTCACTCATCTCTCTCCTGTCTGCCTGCTGCGTATCGGACACCAGAGCTTTCTGCCCACCCTTAGCATGCTGTAGCTTCACCCAGACTGGTGGATGGATAGAGGAGGAAGAGGAGGGGACCAGCTGAAATGACGGCTAAGAGAGAAAAATCAATGAGCCATGAAGCCAAAGCCTCCCAGATAAACGAGCTTGGATCCACCAGCGTCTGGTTGCAACACTTCACATCAACAAACCCCTGCTTCCCCCACGTTTTTAAACCCCACCTTCACCCGAACTCCCCCATCATAACCCCCCCACCCACCCTTCAATGTGTAGTTCGTGTTGTTACTGTGAAACAGGCAGGGCGTCTGTTTGTGCCCGCACCACCTCCCCATCAGGGCAGCTCTTTCCATTAAGCACTGGTCCATGTCCTTGGAAAGAGCCTTGTCGACTTCCTCCCTCCCTGACATGCCACCAACCAGGGGGGTGGGGTCAAGTGGGGGTGGAGTCCATCCCAGGAGGTGTGTGAGGGCTCAGGCAGGGGGTCGGGGGTATTAGCTGGTGGTATCTGAGCCAGGTAACACCTCCCTTCTCCCCCAGCCACAGCGCATCCCCTCCGGTCCCACCAACCAAACCAACCCCAGGCCATCGGGATCCACCTGGACTGAGGGGGTCGGATGGTGGGTGGAGGGCATTGTACCGCTGTAAGTCCACTGGATGCACACACTGTGGAGGATGATGGGAGGGTGGGTATGTAGTTTCTCCAGAGGGGAAGCTCTGTGATTCAGCCTTACGGCATTCCCAAAAATTAAAGGCTCAATCCCCCCACGAATTTCTTCTTTCTGGTTTTGGGGTGGGGGGTGGAGGGGGGGCAGGGTCTGGCACTATATATGGACATCGACATATGAACCATATGTCTACAGGGAAGTCTATGACGTACAGTTTATAGAGTGTGTGTTTAACACCGGGGCTGGGGTGCGTTTGATCCGCTGTAGCCATGCTGATGCTGCTGAGTCTGTGTATGGCGCTGGTGGGGGTGGAGTCAGGCGCAGAGGGGGGAGGAGGACAAGGGTTGTAGGGGCGGGGCAAGAAAGGACTCTGTCGCAGCTGGCATCAAAGGTCAAAGGTCGAGGAGGAGGCTGCAGCGATCTGTCGTACAGGTGGGTGGAGGGGGGAGGGGCCTCTGGAGTCCTTATCCCAGGTACCACTGTGGAGAGAGACAGAAGAAGGTGTTACATGGAGTCAGCTCGCCATCGATAGACTGATAGATAGATGGTTTTTGCCAACTGGTATACGGACACACTCTTCTGAACGGGCCCCGTACCACGCCAAAGTCATTGAAATCTGCTGCTTGGGCAGTGACTTGCAGCGTCAGAAACCAACGAAGGTGCCCTTTAACGTCAACATGGTACGCGGCCAGTTGCCGTTTAAGTTTAAGGACACCCAGTGGTGTACGGGGGAAACGCAGCGGGACAAGGATGAAAGTAACGGTTGTAAGGGTGGTGGATGGGTCCAACACACCACGACTTCCACCCAGGATAGCGGTGTTCGTGTCCCGTAAGATTATAAAGCCAAACAGTGTTCTTATTCTTCTAAACCCAAACACCTGTTTGTTGTTGAAGGAAAAAAAATATCGATTGGTGGTGTTGTACCAATGTAATGCGTTTATTTTGAAAGAGACTGTATGCAAACGTTGGATTTCCTGTGAGGGGTATCTTGAAAGAAGACAATACATGTAACAGGCAGAACCTGACACACCCAGGATACCTTGGACGTCATATTTGGATGTGGAAACCAAATGTCAATATGTGACGAGGTTGGCTTGAGAATGTGTCGACTGAACCATTAAAGTGCTGCACTGAGAACCAGAATCCATGATTGGACATGTGTTTGTATCCATCGCTCAAGCTAAAATGATTTATATACAAGAAGCAAGAAATTAATTTGATATGTAAATATTTAAATAGGTTTGAGTGAAAAAAATTGGCATACATATTCATATTCCCCAGAGGCTGAATCCTAAAATCTTGAAACAAAAAACTGAAACAAATTTTTCTGGCTGCATGATTGAAAATGGAAGTCAACGGAAAGACAAGTAAGGACGCGAAAACTTCTGAATTTGCAACGACATGACTGAGCAGGTTGTTAATGTACTTTTCTTTCACATCTTAATGTTTGTGATCCCCCTGACCTTTGCACTGACTCTTAAACTTCCTCCTCTATAATCTAAAAATCACTATCGTTCCCAACCTGTAGACATTTGCAGCAGAAACAAATGTAAATCAAAATGTGAATCAAAGCATCAATTCTCTCTTGGTGAATTTACATGGATCTTAATAGAGAGCTCCAGGGATGATGTTTTTCTGCAGGCTGACACTGAACTGTCGTCCTGGTTCCCTCGTCAAATGCCTGTGGGATTTTTCCATTGGATTCTCCATGAAATATCCTGATCCATTCTTGTTCCACTGAGGAGGAACCCTTTGGATTTTAGCGACCACATGACCTTTCCTCTGACACCACAAGTGCTCATTTTGTTAACAAACACGATGACGAAAAATGTCTGTCAAAGATTTTTTTTTCTATGACGAAGATGATAAATAGATCTTTGATAATAAAAACTATGACAAAATGCATGTTTCATTTTTGTTGACAAGATGAGACGAACATGTTAGCGGTGCACTATCGGACACAGAAATTTAGAGAAGAGGAGAAGTGAATGAGGAAGAACTTTATGAACTGTATAAGAAACATGTTTTAAACTGGGACACAGAGAAAGCCAGTGCTGTGCTACTACTACTGTTTTCTAATGTCATGTAAGCGGTATGACATCAGAGTGCTGACAGGTTGATGGTGTTTGACAGGCAGGTAGGAGGCTCAGTTATCTGTGAGTGTAGCTGTGCTGTAAGTAAACAGTCTGAACTCAAATCAGTTTTCTCTGACAGAGATGAAAGTTTAGCTTGAATCACCAACTCTGTGAGAGGACGCTCCGGCAGCTCTGCACCAGAACGATCAACTCCCTCTCCATATTTACCACAGACTGATATTTACTGATGGAGGAAGATATCTGTCCGCTGTGATCAGTTGTTCCCTGAAAAATAGGTGCTAGAGAAACAATGAATTTGAGGGCGCAAAAAAAAGCGGCGTGTATACAGGCCCTAAGAACAGTGGTTCCCAACTGGTGGGTCGTGGTCCAAAAGTGGGTTCATTCTGAATGGACTGCAAGTGATTTGAAAATGTGTCTAAAAATATATTTAAAACACACTTTATTTTTTAGTACAGTGAATTTCCTTCACAGAGCTTTTATTCTGAAGTGCAGTTTCCCGCGGCAGAGTGAGTGACTGACAGACAGCTCTCTGACAGACAGCAAACTAACTGTACGACACGGCCAAACACAAGTATGACTCTGAATGTACTGACCTGTGTGGACCTTGAAGTAACAACTAAGGGTGCTTTCACACCTGCCCTGTTTAGTTCTGCTCAATCAAACTCAAACTTTTTTTTTCACTAATCTGTCGTATCGTCAAGAATATCGTTATCGCAAAAAATCCCTGAAATATCCTGATACTATTTCAGGGCCATATCGCCCACCCCTGATAAGAATGCTCTTCAGTGAGCGTGGATTCTGTTCTGACCAGAAACAAATCCCAGATAAGAAAACACTGGTGATGAAAACTGTGTAAGTGGATTTTAAGAGGAACTTTCTTCTTAAGAACAGTTGGCAAATGAGACCAGATGTTTTCAGCTGGGGTGTTTCGCCTTAACATGGAGCACCACCCTCTGCACGAATGTCACGTTTTGCTCAGCTACTGTTCGGACTCAAAGGAAAGATAAATCCTCAGGAGGTTTGTTCAGTCCGACACATTTATATTGTGGTTGTGATGAACGCCGCAGCCTCTAAAGAACATTAACGAGACTTCAGACGTGATTTCTCGTGATGGATCTCAGGTTTGGGTCGGACAGTCACAGGTAAGTTTAATGTTCAGGACCTTAAACACAACACGCTGCTTCTTCTCACTTCAGCCGGGAGTTTACCACACTTTCTTCTTCCGCAGCACCACCGAACTCTGTGAGTGTGTGTGTGTGTGTGTAATCCATCTCTGATAGGCCGGTATCGATTGGCAAAGGTGCATCGTTCATGTTTCATGCATCTCCCTCCCCTCCTCTTCCTCCTCTTCCTCGCTGGCCCCGCCGAGTTCAAGTTCATCCCCGCCTTACATCATGTCTGGTTGCCAGGGACAACCAGACGGCCCGGGACGTGACTACCATCGCCAAGGCAACCGCATCGCCCTCCACCCCCATCCCCCCTTTCCTACCTAACCACCCCAACCTTCTTCTTCGTCCTCCTCCCTCCTCTTCCTCCTCCTTTTTCTTTCTTTACATTCATCCTCTCTCCAATCGCCTTCTCCTCCCTGTCCCGCTCTGCACTTCAGACACACGCACACACACACACACACACAGAGGTATTGATTTGAAGTGAGGACACACACACCTACACAAACACACACACACACACACACCTACACTAACACACACACACACACACACTCTTTAAAAAATTATTTGCAATTTAGAAAATGTGTTTCTGAATATTGAAGGTAAAGTGAAAGTTTAAATAAAACACATGAAGGTAAATAGTTTCTGTGTGTGTGTGTGTGTGTTGCAGGGTTTCTCGGTACTCCTGACTCGTTGTAATTCTATTGCTGTGTGTGTGTGTGTGTGTGTGTGTGTGTGTGTGTGTGTGTGTGCGCAGTAGTGATAGAGGAGAAGACTGGAAGGTTAGTTTTTAATCAATACAACTTGCTGACGCTGAGACTTTTCTACCTCGCTGGCTCACTCCCTCCCTCTCCCCCCCCCACCAGTGTCTCCCGGTGTCTCTCGCCCTCTTGCTCGCTCCCTGCACTGCAGCTCCTCCCTCCCTCTGTCCTGAGAAGACTCAGAGAAGATGAAACTCTCACAGGCCAGACAGTGTGTGTGTGTGTGTGTGTGTGTGTGTGTGTGTGTGTGTGGAGTAATGTTACCACACAGCAGGCCGATGCTGACAGCTGTGATTCAGACTGTAGATACTCATCACAGAAAGAGAGAGAGAGAGAGAGCTGAGCGGAGCTAGAGGAAAAGGAAGATGGAGGATGAAGGTGGAGAAACTTTAAAGGATCAGTCTGGTGTTTTTATAAAGTTTTTCTCACTGTTAACAAACCGACAACATATTTAGTCGTGTCAATCTGTGGTTAGACCCGGGAAAAACTGCCAGAGCGTTCATTCAAGGTTTTCTGTGATCTCTTGGGACGTCCAGGTAACATTAACTCAACTCAACTCTATTTATACAGCAACTGTCATACAAACATGCAGCCCAAAGTGCTTCACATGGCAAAATCAAGCAGGATTTATAGTTGTGCAGCAGAGCCTATGCACTTATAGTTGAGTGGTGGTGTGTCTGTGTCACTCTGCAGTTACACCTCCAAAACACTAGTTGGCAGCAGAGGTTTCTCTGAAGTGCAGTAAAGTTTAGTTGATTCAAAACACACATTAAACACACATTAAACATGGCTTAATAGAGACAGTTTCAAACACAAATCAGCTTCACTATAACTCGCAGCATTCACAGACAAACACTTGTCTTTATCTGGACACATTTTCCCACAAATACAACATGCTAACGTTATTAGCACAAGCCTATGGCATTTTACATTGTATAAATTAGCCTAGCGTCTAGCAGACTTCTCTCTACTTATATGAAACCAGGGACAACAGCAGCATTTAACAAAGGTAACGTTACAAAATTCAGCTCCATTACAACTCACAAGGTTCACTGACAAAACAACTGTCTTATACTAAACACGTTTTCCAAACAAATACAACATGCTAACTTTATTAGCTCAAGCCTATGGCATTTTACATTGTATAAATTAGCCTAGCAGCTATCAGATATTTTCTCTGCTCATATTTCAGCCAGGATAAATCACACACAGTGTGTGGAGGCTTTATTGTCTTCACAATTTATTGTTTCTTATCTGTGAAATTAAAGTAAATCAAAGCTTTGTTTCCACTGAGGGAAATGGTTTCAGCTTACAGAGACAGACAGGAGGTCTGCGTCACTGTGACGTGGAGTTACATTTCTGGGGAGGTGCATGGTGTCGATTCAACGCAGAAGTATGAATTCCGCATTAGAAGGACACAGACACAAGACAATAAAATATTAAATAAGCAAAC